CTCCATTTTTGCACTCAGGTCTAAGTCTCATGGCCCTCTATCAGAATCCAGAGTTTTGGGAAGATTGGAGAAACTTAATTTTTCGCCCAAAAAAAAAAACGTAAGGGGTACCACTGTCGTTTTTTTTTCGGGCCGAATTTTTGAGTTTCGATATCTCAGCTCTGGAAGGGGCTAGAGCCTCCATTTTTGCACTCAGGTCTAAGTCTCATGGCCCTCTATCAGAATCCAGAGTTTTGGGAAGATTGGAGAAACTTAATTTTTCGCCCAAAAAAAAAAACGTAAGGGGTACCACTGTCGTTTTTTTTTCGGGCCGAATTTTTGAGTTTCGATATCTCAGCTCTGGAAGGGGCTAGAGCCTCCATTTTTGCACTCAGGTCTAAGTCTCATGGCCCTCTATCAGAATCCAGAGTTTTGGGAAGATTGGAGAAACTTAATTTTTCGCCCAAAAAAAAAAAACGTAAGGGGTACCACTGTCGTTTTTTTTTTCGGGCCGAATTTTTGAGTTTCGATATCTCAGCTCTGGAAGGGGCTAGAGCCTCCATTTTTGCACTCAGGTCTAAGTCTCATGGCCCTCTATCAGAATCCAGAGTTTTGGGAAGATTGGAGAAACTTAATTTTTCGCCCAAAAAAAAAAACGTAAGGGGTACCACTGTCGTTTTTTTTTCGGGCCGAATTTTTGAGTTTCGATATCTCAGCTCTGGAAGGGGCTAGAGCCTCCATTTTTGCACTCAGGTCTAAGTCTCATGGCCCTCTATCAGAATCCAGAGTTTTGGGAAGATTGGAGAAACTTAATTTTTCGCCCAAAAAAAAAAACGTAAGGGGTACCACTGTCGTTTTTTTTTTCGGGCCGAATTTTTGAGTTTCGATATCTCAGCTCTGGAAGGGGCTAGAGCCTCCATTTTTGCACTCAGGTCTAAGTCTCATGGCCCTCTATCAGAATCCAGAGTTTTGGGAAGATTGGAGAAACTTAATTTTTCGCCCAAAAAAAAAAACGTAAGGGGTACCACTGTCGTTTTTTTTTTCGGGCCGAATTTTTGAGTTTCGATATCTCAGCTCTGGAAGGGGCTAGAGCCTCCATTTTTGCACTCAGGTCTAAGTCTCATGGCCCTCTATCAGAATCCAGAGTTTTGGGAAGATTGGAGAAACTTAATTTTTCGCCCAAAAAAAAAAAACGTAAGGGGTACCACTGTCGTTTTTTTTTCGGGCCGAATTTTTGAGTTTCGATATCTCAGCTCTGGAAGGGGCTAGAGCCTCCATTTTTGCACTCAGGTCTAAGTCTCATGGCCCTCTATCAGAATCCAGAGTTTTGGGAAGATTGGAGAAACTTAATTTTTCGCCCAAAAAAAAAAACGTAAGGGGTACCACTGTCGTTTTTTTTTCGGGCCGAATTTTTGAGTTTCGATATCTCAGCTCTGGAAGGGGCTAGAGCCTCCATTTTTGCACTCAGGTCTAAGTCTCATGGCCCTCTATCAGAATCCAGAGTTTTGGGAAGATTGGAGAAACTTAATTTTTCGCCCAAAAAAAAAAAACGTAAGGGGTACCACTGTCGTTTTTTTTTTCGGGCCGAATTTTTGAGTTTCGATATCTCAGCTCTGGAAGGGGCTAGAGCCTCCATTTTTGCACTCAGGTCTAAGTCTCATGGCCCTCTATCAGAATCCAGAGTTTTGGGAAGATTGGAGAAACTTAATTTTTCGCCCAAAAAAAAAAACGTAAGGGGTACCACTGTCGTTTTTTTTTTCGGGCCGAATTTTTGAGTTTCGATATCTCAGCTCTGGAAGGGGCTAGAGCCTCCATTTTTGCACTCAGGTCTAAGTCTCATGGCCCTCTATCAGAATCCAGAGTTTTGGGAAGATTGGAGAAACTTAATTTTTCGCCCAAAAAAAAAACGTAAGGGGTACCACTGTCGTTTTTTTTTCGGGCCGAATTTTTGAGTTTCGATATCTCAGCTCTGGAAGGGGCTAGAGCCTCCATTTTTGCACTCAGGTCTAAGTCTCATGGCCCTCTATCAGAATCCAGAGTTTTGGGAAGATTGGAGAAACTTAATTTTTCGCCCAAAAAAAAAAAACGTAAGGGGTACCACTGTCGTTTTTTTTTCGGGCCGAATTTTTGAGTTTCGATATCTCAGCTCTGGAAGGGGCTAGAGCCTCCATTTTTGCACTCAGGTCTAAGTCTCATGGCCCTCTATCAGAATCCAGAGTTTTGGGAAGATTGGAGAAACTTAATTTTTCGCCCAAAAAAAAAAACGTAAGGGGTACCACTGTCGTTTTTTTTTCGGGCCGAATTTTTGAGTTTCGATATCTCAGCTCTGGAAGGGGCTAGAGCCTCCATTTTTGCACTCAGGTCTAAGTCTCATGGCCCTCTATCAGAATCCAGAGTTTTGGGAAGATTGGAGAAACTTAATTTTTCGCCCAAAAAAAAAAAACGTAAGGGGTACCACTGTCGTTTTTTTTTTCGGGCCGAATTTTTGAGTTTCGATATCTCAGCTCTGGAAGGGGCTAGAGCCTCCATTTTTGCACTCAGGTCTAAGTCTCATGGCCCTCTATCAGAATCCAGAGTTTTGGGAAGATTGGAGAAACTTAATTTTTCGCCCAAAAAAAAAAAACGTAAGGGGTACCACTGTCGTTTTTTTTTCGGGCCGAATTTTTGAGTTTCGATATCTCAGCTCTGGAAGGGGCTAGAGCCTCCATTTTTGCACTCAGGTCTAAGTCTCATGGCCCTCTATCAGAATCCAGAGTTTTGGGAAGATTGGAGAAACTTAATTTTTCGCCCAAAAAAAAAAACGTAAGGGGTACCACTGTCGTTTTTTTTTCGGGCCGAATTTTTGAGTTTCGATATCTCAGCTCTGGAAGGGGCTAGAGCCTCCATTTTTGCACTCAGGTCTAAGTCTCATGGCCCTCTATCAGAATCCAGAGTTTTGGGAAGATTGGAGAAACTTAATTTTTCGCCCAAAAAAAAAAAACGTAAGGGGTACCACTGTCGTTTTTTTTTCGGGCCGAATTTTTGAGTTTCGATATCTCAGCTCTGGAAGGGGCTAGAGCCTCCATTTTTGCACTCAGGTCTAAGTCTCATGGCCCTCTATCAGAATCCAGAGTTTTGGGAAGATTGGAGAAACTTAATTTTTCGCCCAAAAAAAAAAACGTAAGGGGTACCACTGTCGTTTTTTTTTTCGGGCCGAATTTTTGAGTTTCGATATCTCAGCTCTGGAAGGGGCTAGAGCCTCCATTTTTGCACTCAGGTCTAAGTCTCATGGCCCTCTATCAGAATCCAGAGTTTTGGGAAGATTGGAGAAACTTAATTTTTCGCCCAAAAAAAAAAAACGTAAGGGGTACCACTGTCGTTTTTTTTTTCGGGCCGAATTTTTGAGTTTCGATATCTCAGCTCTGGAAGGGGCTAGAGCCTCCATTTTTGCACTCAGGTCTAAGTCTCATGGCCCTCTATCAGAATCCAGAGTTTTGGGAAGATTGGAGAAACTTAATTTTTCGCCCAAAAAAAAAAAACGTAAGGGGTACCACTGTCGTTTTTTTTTTCGGGCCGAATTTTTGAGTTTCGATATCTCAGCTCTGGAAGGGGCTAGAGCCTCCATTTTTGCACTCAGGTCTAAGTCTCATGGCCCTCTATCAGAATCCAGAGTTTTGGAAGATTGGAGAAACTTAATTTTTCGCCCAAAAAAAAAAAAAACGTAAGGGGTACTGTCGTGTTTTTTTTTCGGGCCGAATTTTTGAGTTTCGATATCTCAGCTCTGGAAGGGGCTAGAGCCTCCATTTTTGCACTCAGGTCTAAGTCTCATGGCCCTCTATCAGAATCCAGAGTTTTGGGAAGATTGGAGAAACTTAATTTTTCGCCCAAAAAAAAAAACGTAAGGGGTACCACTGTCGTTTTTTTTTCGGGCCGAATTTTTGAGTTTCGATATCTCAGCTCTGGAAGGGGCTAGAGCCTCCATTTTTGCACTCAGGTCTAAGTCTCATGGCCCTCTATCAGAATCCAGAGTTTTGGGAAGATTGGAGAAACTTAATTTTTCGCCCAAAAAAAAAAAACGTAAGGGGTACCACTGTCGTTTTTTTTTCGGGCCGAATTTTTGAGTTTCGATATCTCAGCTCTGGAAGGGGCTAGAGCCTCCATTTTTGCACTCAGGTCTAAGTCTCATGGCCCTCTATCAGAATCCAGAGTTTTGGGAAGATTGGAGAAACTTAATTTTTCGCCCAAAAAAAAAAAAACGTAAGGGGTACCACTGTCGTTTTTTTTTTCGGGCCGAATTTTTGAGTTTCGATATCTCAGCTCTGGAAGGGGCTAGAGCCTCCATTTTTGCACTCAGGTCTAAGTCTCATGGTACACATTGATGGCCTAAGACATGAAACGAGCAGTTTGTGTGAGAAAACGAACACTATTTATATAGTTTTTCACCAACTCCTTGTAAATCACAGTTCACGTCCAACTGTGATCTGAAGGGCGAGAGCGCCTCTGTCTACGCTCGGTTGCAATTGATTACACATTGTAAGCGCGCTTTTCGTGTCTTAGGCCATCAATGTGTAGTTACATTTACGAGTCATTAAATCATGTTTAATTTGGACTTCTCTGTGCATGCTCTTTGAGGTGGTGACCATAGACCTCCATTATATGACTGATAGACAAGAACGGTTTGACCAAATAAATAAAAATTAAAAATCTGTGGAAAAAAAGACACCTACATCTTGGATGCCCTTGAGGTAAGCTAAAACATACCAAAAAATAATTTCAAAGTGAACTATCCCTTTAAGTAAATCCACTTCAAAAGCTAATTACTCCTAGACAGCAATGCCAGAGAGATATACAGAGCGACCGCTAGATAGGAAATTCAAAGACATTATTCTTAAGATGGCGGCGCCCTTGTTTCTCTGGTGCATAAGGTCTATAGAAGAAAGACGTTATGTAAATGATGACATAATTTTCATTTTTGGGTGACCTATCCCTTTAACATACTTTATTTACAATAGAAATCCATTAGTGAAATGTGAGTTTAGAATAAATAATTGTACACATGTAAATATTGCTACAAAAGTGTATACATATGTTTGGAAACAAAACAATGATAAAATGTGTGCGGAATGAAAAATTCTGTGCGGCACATGATGTAATAGACTAACAAACCAATGAAGTTCCAAATAATTGTTGCAGAAAACTGCTGTTATTTTATATCGAGGGGAATTTCTGAACAATTGCATCCAAAAAGAGTAAACTGAAGAGTAAAATAAAGTCACAAAGACACAGGTCATGTCCACACAGTCTAACCGCTCCCAGGTATCTTGACTTGATCTAGATTCTAGAAGATCACAGAAACAGAAGTGTGCGCTTGGATGTGTGCTCAGGATTGCTTGTGTGTCTTTGCACAGGGGAAGTTGACAGCTCAGGGAAAGTTATTGCAGCAGGACACGTTCTTTGTGACAGAGCAGGACTCTGGCGTCCTGTCCCGCAGTAAAGAGCGCAGAGTGTTCCTCTTCGAACAGATCGTCATCTTCAGCGAGCTGCTTCGGAAAGGCTCGTCTACACCAGGGTACCAGTTTAAAAAGAGCATCAAGGTACATTTCACGACAAATTGATCCAAGTTGAGTAAATAAAAGTGACCCTGGACCACAAAAACAGTCACATGGGTACATTTTTTGAAATTGAGATCTGTGAGTCTGAAAGCTGAATAAATAAGCTTTCCATTGATTGCTCCATCCACTCACAAAAATTTATTTTTGAGATATTTACGGTAGGAAATTTACAAAATATCTCCATGTAACATGATCTTTACTAAAGGAGTAGTTCACTTTTAAAAACACTCACTCACCCCCATGTCATCCAAGATGTCCATGTCTTTCTTTCTTCAGTCGAAAAGAAATGAAGGTTTTTGATGAAAACATTCCAGGATTTTCTCCATATAACGGACTTCAATGGGAACCAAATGGTTTAAGGTCCAAATGAGAGTTTCAGTGCAGCTTCACAGGGCTTTAAACGACACCAGACGATGAAGAAGGGTCATTTAAAAAATAAATAAAAAAGTTTTGTAAGCACAAATGCTCACCTTGCTCTGTTCTGTGATGCGCGATCGTGACTCTCCTGTTCAAACTCGTTCATCAAAATGAATAAATCTTTTTTCGAGTCGTGACTCGATGGGTCCTTATTCGTCGTCTGGTGTCATTTAAAACCCTTTGAACTCTCATTTGGACCTTGAACCATTTGGTTCCCATTGAAGTCCATTATATGGAGAAAATCCTGGAATGTTTTCATCAAAAACCTTAATTTCTTTTCGACCGAAGAAAGTAAGACGTAGACATCTTGGATGACATGGGGTGACAAGTAAATTATCAGCAAAAGTTTTTTTTAAAGTGAACTACATCTTTAATATCCTAATGATTTTTGGCATAAACGAAAAAGCTTTAATTTTGACCCATACAATATACTGTTGGCTATTCCCACAAATATACCTGTGCGACTTGTGACTGGCTTTGTGATCCACGGTCACAAATAACTATTTATGTTGTGCAACTTTTTGTCTGTGTTGACCTTTGCAGGTGAACTTCTTGAGCTTGGAGGAAAATGCCGACAGCGACCCCTGTAGGTTTGTGCTGTTATGTCGTGGTTCATCTGAACGACTGACGTTACAGGCCGCTAACATCGACATCAAGAAAGAGTGGGTCCAAAGCATCCAAAAACTACTGGACATGCAGATCAATTTCCTCACCGGTGAGCGCACTATAAAAGGGTTCAGGGTGTGGGATTTGGGGTAGTTGCTGAACAAAAAACAAGCAGATCTCAATGCTGGTTATATCCTTTTTCATTTAATTTTTATTTCCGGGATCGTTCATAACCTGCTGCTCATCTTTTTCTGATCAGCTCTTCAGAACCCACAGGAATACCACAAGAAAGAGAGCGGAGGATCTTTGACCAGGCAGCTGTCCAATAGCAGCCGTTCCTCATCCTCTCACCCCTCCACCCCCCTCAAACCCAACACCGCCCCCAATGGAAGCCCCGCCCACAACCCCAATAAACATGCAGAGGTGAGCATGATTCAAAAATATTACATCAATCTACATAGCATATCAGTTAGCTATTTTTTAAATAGTTTTAAAAAGTTTTAAAGCAAATTATTGAATTAATATGGCAATTAATTAATCAAATTGATAACATATCAATGTTTGCTGAAGAAAAGGACCTAAAAGATGCCCTTGTCTGAAGATTCTAAAACATCACTGGAAAAGTTCAAAGAAAAAATATATATATATTTAAAATATTTTAAATTACCATTACTGTTTCATCCTGCTTTCTAAACACTGCTCAGAAATCATGAGATTAACCACAAATTCTTAAAAAAAAAAAAAATGAATAGCAAGTAAATATGTTCCAGATAGTATTTTTCATATATTTATAATACATGTAATAGGTATTGATTTCTGAAAAATATGTATGCTGCTGTTCAAAAGGAAAAAAGAAGCCTCTTAATTTATTCCCGTAATACAAAGCTTAATTTTCAGCATCATTACTCCAGTCTTCATTGTCACGTGATCCTTCAGACTGACTTCCACTACACCAAAAGCTCTAGTGTGAAGTAATCACCCTAAACAGAGACCAATTATCTCAATTGGATTCTGTGCTTAAACAGTATTGTGTATTATCTAACAAATCCAATTAGTTTCCCAGACCTTTTTAATTAGCGTGTCATCTAGGCCAGATATATGTAATGAAACACAATTCCATCCCAGTACACTAGTCTCTGCAGTGTGCATGCGCTGAACTGAATGTGTCCGTGCTGCAGTGCTGTGAAGTTCCAGTCTAATTGTCTTTGAGGGGAGGAGAGGTTCCTGCTAGTTATTCTTAGTGGGGAGAATGGCCTAGTTTTCCAGCTCTGCCTGTGTTCTGTACCTGTTTCTCTTCTCTCTGCAGGGTCTCTTTCTTCCGTTCTACTTTCTCTCTTTCAGTCTTTTCTTCTCGCCGCAGTCTGGTGTGCTTGTAACTTGGCCTTGGCACACCCTGTATTCTGTGTCCCTAATAAATCACACTGTCACTGAATACCAGACTGCAGGAGCCACTCGCTACTTTTTATTTTTAAGTGTCTCGAAGCGAAGCTTTTCACCCAGCTATTTATTTCTCATGCCAGTCGAAGGTCAAGGTTGGCTCTGGCGGAGACAGTGAGGAACAGACTTTTGTTCTGATTTGTCCTGAAGCGCTCGGCCATATGAAGAAGGACATGCGTTTGAAGCAGCACTATGCAGTTTTTTTTTTTACCTTTTAACTGAATAGCTTCGAAGTTATTGCAATGGTTATATGACTTTTTTTGGGTTGAATGTTGGGCGTCTTCGAGGCGCATACAATACAGACTGCTGACAGTTCAACATGGCACAGCTCTTAAAGGGGCCACACCTTATTTCCACTCGTTACAGCTTACATCCTACTGAATAGGTACCGGTATACAGGGGAGGGAATCAGGCTGTAAGTGCTATTGACGACACTGTACAAGTACTCCACAGCGACTCTAGGGGTCACAGTTTGACAAAAAACGGAAATCCTGCATAGTGTGGCTTTAAAGTCCACATATTTCATTTGCATACATTACCAGTCAATTTTTTTTTAATGTTTTTTTTTTTTTCTAATGTCCACCAAAGCTGCATTTATTTGATTAAAACGCAAATTTTACATTTTCCGTCTGTCTTTGTGCCCGATGTAACTACAGAAGAGTCCAGTTTTAAATGGGAAATATATATATTTTTTTTTTGAGAAATGCTAATGTTCCTGTCCACTTCAATGATGTATGCTAAGCTATGCTAAAAGTGGTACCGCCAGAACCGGAGATGAATGGATTCAAAAACGGTAAAACTCAACAGTTTAACTCTGGGGGAGTTGTAAAATGAGCCTATTTCCAAAAAAAAAAAAAAAAAAAGTGGAGTATCCCTTTAAATTCCCTTCAATAATATTTAGCAATACTGTTTTTTACTATATTTTTAACCAAATAAATGCAGCCCTGGTGAGTTTAAAAGACTTTTTTCAACAACATAAAAAAAACTTTTGACCAATTGTGTATTCATAATGTGAATGTTTAGACTAATGTTTCATTTGTGTGTGTGTGTGTGTGTGTGGTTTTGTCCTCCAGGAGCTGGACGAGGGGGAGTGTAACGGCCTGTCTTCGGTGCTAGTGCTGCAGGATTACAATGCCGTGAAGGAGGACGAGATCTGCGTGGTGGTTGGTGAGACGGTGCAGATCCTGGCATCCAATCAGCAGAACATGTGCCTGGTTTACCGACCTGCAAACAGCCAATCACCTGCTGCAGAGGGCTGGGTACCGGGTCACGTGCTATCCTCGACTCGGTAAAGCCACGCCCCCTCAACGCCTCCGAATATATAACCACTACTCTCGTTCACCCTTCAGTTTCACCAGCCTACTCTGGGAAAGCTTGCTGACACATGCCACTCGACCTCCTGTTAAGCTACAGAACAGGAAGTCCCGCCCCTTTCCCGTCTGCCGTACAGTTGAGGACTACAGATGCACGCTATGAAAAACGGTGCGGCTTCACCTCCCATAGTCGATATGGGGGGGAAAAAAAGAAAACAATAGAAAAAAGGAATTTTAAGAAAATATATTATATTGCTAATAATTTAAAAAAAAAATGATTGTGTTGTATAGAGAGGAAACCGAGGTGAATTTGTCAGTGAATTACGTGTGGATGTGTATGGATCTTAACGTCATCCTTTCTCATCAACGCAATCCCATTACGCGCAACGGACTGTTTTCTAATGGGGCTCCCCCTTTTTCCCCTGTCTGTCTATGCCAAGTCATTTGCACACTGTGTATATTTTCTTTCACTGAGATTTTTATTTTTGGAAAGGTTTTTTTTTTTTTTTTCTCTCCCAAGTGTCTTATTTTTACAGCTGTTAGGCGTGGCAGATTTATTATTTTCTTTCAGTTCTGTCAAGCAGTTCAGTGTTCTGTACAAAGTATTCTGCACTTTTCCAACAAATAGTATCGCAATGACGGCAAGTTGTGGAATATCACAATTGTCACAATGCTCATAACTGTACTTGTAACTAAAGATTTAAATGTATTATTCTGTATCATTTTAAATTTGTACATAATATTTTTGACATTGCCATAATAGATACACAGCAGAGGAAAACCCTCTATTCCTGTCAGGCTAAAAAACAACTAAAAAAAAAAAAAAAAAAAAAACGAAATCCTGGTAGTCAGCACTGCCTCCAAAACCTGACCCTCTGATTTTTACATTTGACATCATCAGATTTAGTATGTAATAAGTTATCATCTGAATCATATCAGACCAGATGTTTACTCAAATTAGTCGATTTAAAAATGGATGTTGTTGATTTCTGAAGAGTAGTTTCTGCTGTCAGCGTCTCAGAAATACGTGTAAATAAACATACAAAAAAAACTAATTCTAGCAGGTATTTCACTTGTTAAACTGGAATGTTGTTCATAATAAAGCTGGCAATTTTTCATCTTGGACATTATGTGTTCTGCATCATTTGTTCATCTGTGCATCTGAACAGTATTGTGTTTTAAATGTGAATATAAAAAGTAAATATTCATGCAATCAACATCAAGCATATACAAATCAACTCAATGTTACAGTATTGTGTGTACAGAGAAAACTAACAGTATTTATATCGTTTTTTACCTCGTGTAATCAGTTAGACAACAACGGTTTGAATGAAAAATGTCAAAATTGAAAATATTGAGGAGACAAAGACACCTACATCTTGGATGCCCTTGAGGTAAGCTAAAACATGCCAAAAATTAATTTCAAAGTGAATTATCCCTTTAAGGTGGCGTAGTGACATTGTACTTACTCAAGTAAGTACTGAGAAATAAACTACATACTTACTATAGAATAGAGTAAACACACACACACACACACACACAAACAGATTCAAGTACCGTTTTGTGCCGCTAAAAGCGTAGAAAGACTTCACTTCTAAATGTACCTGTAGTAAATCAAATGACCACGAGGGTGCAGCAACACTTTAATGCTTAAGAATGTAAATGATATCTAAAGTGTCAATATTAAACCAGTTTTAACGGAAGCCATTTATTTCAATTTTAAAAACTGTAAAAAATGTTTAATAAAAATGCTCTAAACATTCTCTATGAATTTCTTTTATTTGCTGCAATATTTCTGGTTGTATTGGATACAATATTTAACACATAAAAAATAAACTATCAAGATTTTATTTTTGTAAATATGGGAAAAAGACACCTCTGAGTTGTTATCCTCATGTAAGCTAACCCTCAATGCCTCACTGAGCAATGGTTTTAGCATTTTACTTCCCTCCTGCCTGTCAATTTAGTTGTCCCTGAAAAAATAATAATAATATTAATAATTAATAAAGTGCCAGACCTTAAAAAGTCAGGACAAAGTCTTGTACAGTTCAATAGAAATACTTCCTTCACCGAATCACAACACAAATTTGTGCAAGCGAAATTGTATATACCACAGGTACTACGTGACAGGAATCCCCATGTCATTCTGTTGCTCAAGAGTTTTGCACTCATCCTAGTGTCTTCATAAGAGGACATGAACTGTTGAGCAACAAAACCGCACGCTTGACTAGAATTACTGCTGTAATAGATTGTTTTTATTATTATCTTGAAGTTTTTATTTTACATTTATCATTTTTAGGTTTGTCATTTTTTATATCTATAAAAACTTATTTCAGTTTTAGTTATTTTAGAGCATCAAGGTAAACTACTTGAGAAATATTGCCTTGCAAGCTGAAATGTTTCTTTCTGTCAATTCTCTAGTTTTATTTCAAGTAATAACATTTTTTTATGCTTTTATTTTTTGTTTTAGTTATCTATAATAACATCAGGTATATTACAATGATATATATACTGAATACAAATGTCTATCATTTTTGAAAAAGAAAGAAAGAACACTGATGTAAGTCAATGGTGGTTTCGGCAACAGGTTTATTTAGCATTTCTGGTTAATTCTGTAATTTGCTTTCAGTCTGGCCTGCAGAATCATTGCAGGCACCAGTTCATTAACAAAAGATCTGTGTTTCCATTAGGGATGGGTACCGAAACCCGATATTAAACGGGCCCAGGTGCTGAAATTTGAAAGACCGTTGTATCGATAAGCTCGGACGTTATTGGTTCTGCTGTCGGTATACTGGAGAAATTAAGTAAATACACGTAGGTTACAATTTATTCCTATAAAGACGTTATCTTGAACATGTTTATGTCGCCAGCCATTTCTATATATAAACTATATTTTAATTAAACCATTTGTCTGTGATGCAAATTTGCTATTCGCAGTTCAGAAGAGAGAGAGAAGAGAGAGAGAGAGAGAGCGTTCTCTCACGCGGAGCCACAGCGCGCACAAAACGACAGTGCTTGCTTAATGAGTGACAATGAGGACAGAACTAAACATTCAAACGAGGTTAGACTTTAGATCTGGGATATTATTCCAATTTTATTTTAGATTTCGGCTTCCAAAGATTATAAGAAGATATTTGAGATACACCCGTTAAAAACGAGACGCATGATCTGTCCAGCGCAACTTCCTTCACGTCACAGCGCTGCGCTGTCAGTTCTTCCTAAACCCAAACGTGCCGTCAGAATCAGCAAGATCGGCATTTGTTGCAAAATGCTGTCTCTTCTGTTGCTAGATCATAAAATGCCTATTAAAAACACAAAAACCGAGACGCTGACAGAGACAGAGACGCTGTTCACAAAGCGGTGCGCGCTCCGAAACGGACTGCAACGAGACAAGAAGAGTAGGCTATAGCCTACTTTGGGCTTCGTGTGTCCTAAACTATCAAATATACATAAAAATGTCAAAATGACCAGCTCTGAGATTCACTTAAACACAATTATGTCTTAAATGGATGTAAATAATAGGGAGAAAATGATGGTGCCTCAGTTACCGATTAGATCTGCACTCCGTCTTAAAGAGGCAGCAGTCTAATAAATCTGCTGACGATTCAGCCATTAATGCAAATCAAACAACGAAAGCACTTGAATGAGCAACTTTAGATTTAATAAGCATTAATCTATCTATGATAAACTATACAATGCTATTTTATATTTGATTAATAAATTAGATTTATTTTCAAACAGAATATATTACCTAAAAAGTAATGTTAGTAGACCTTCCTGCAATTAAAGCACTTTTGTATCTTTGATTAATTGTATCCTATCTTTTGTATATAAAACAATAAAAGCCTGCACACTGCTGCATAACAATTTTTTTTCTCTTCGTTTTGTTAAAGCATTACTTTTTTACATTTATTTTACATTTCAAAATATAAAGTTAATTATGTTCTTAATTCTTAAAAAAAAAAACACCAAAAAGAACCGATAAGAATACCGTTAAAGTACCGGATCGATAAGCTGTATCGGTAAGAGTAGTAATACCGATAAAACCTTAACGATACCCATCCCTAGTTTCCATCTCTCTCTCCTTTTTTTTAAGACACAATTACTGGTGCTCTTTAAGAGTTTGAAGGGAAAGCAGAGATTCAGTGCACATAGCGCTCCATTGGACTTGTTAGATTGTTCACGAATTCTTATTTAACAGTGCGACCTCACTCAGACGATGCAAACATCTCAGCTGTAAATATCTGTTTATAATATTTAAGCTCAGTTGATATTGGAATGATGACCCACTTCCGGCTTCTACCCTAGATGACCTCACACGGTATTTCACAGAAACAGGTTTGGGGTAGGGCCCTCCGCGGCATTTAAGGCAAAATGATTAGAATTAGAAATCCTCATTTTGATTAGAAAAAGAGATTGACGGGATGATGGTTGGTGTTCAGGCTCGAGGATGAACTGTAGGT